TGGCCACCCTCCGCAGCGCCGTCAAGCTGGAGCAGGAGCAGCAGTTCCTCATCGCCAAGAAGCTGCAGGTCGGGCAGCTGCCAAAGCGCAGGGGGCCCGCCGGGGCGCCGCAGGCGACTGCTGCAGCTGAGGCCGCCCGCGCCCGTTCGATGGTGGCGGGCTGGCTTCGAGACGCGCGTGGCATCGAGGTGCCGCTCGTGCAGCATGTGTGGCAGGAAGCGCTTGTTCACAACCGCACACAAGTACAGCCTCGCGCGCGCGCACACACACACACACACACACACACACACACACACACACACACACACACACACACACACAAACCGCACTCATTCTCTCTTCGCTTGCCAGGAGCTGACCGGCAGCAAGAACATCAAGCTCAAGCCCATCATCGACGCCAGCCTCATCGCCGGGTTTGTGGTGGAATACGGCTCCAGCCAGATCGACCTGTCGATCAGGGGCCAGGTGGAGCGTGTCGCGGAGAACCTGACCAGGTGGGGGCTCGCTGACCTGGCGCCTGGCGCCTGTTTCATGTGTGTGTGTGTGTGTTTGAACGTATGTGTGTGTTTATGTGTCACGTACACGCTTGCAGTGTGTGTGTGTGTACATGTGCGTGCACGACTGTGCGCAGGCCCGCCCAAAGGGGCGGACGCGGCGGCTTGGGGCACAAGGCGCGAGCCGAGGGCGGCCTGCCACACGAGGGCTTTTGGCCCTGAGTGAATCTGGCTGAGCTCCGTGGGTGCCTCGCTGGCTGCTTTTGAGGCAGCGGTGTCGTGCCGAATGTGAGCCACAGGACCCTCGTGGCGGGCAGCAAAATGTCTGGGGTAGGAAACACTGCCTGTGGACGTGCGCGGCTTGTGTGCAGCGGAGAGGGAGGCTTTTGAGAGCGCCCACGCGACGCCTCGCGCACAGAAGCCCCGCTGACCCGCCCTCGCCGGCCCCTGCTGTGCCCCCTTTCCCTCCGCCGTCCCCTAGGGAGATGACCGTCGTTGCCTGAGCGCGGCGCCCTGTGTGCTGCTAGCTGTCCATTGCTCGCTTCGGTCACCGCTGGCAGGCGGGCGCACAGGCAGGCCGGCAGGCGGATGGGCGGCGGTCGCGGGTCCGGAGCCTCTGAGGGCGAGCCCGCGGCCTCGCCGTGCCGTCTCCGCGGCGAGTGCGAGAGATTTGCATTTTATACGTGCGTGTGCGCGCCCCTCGCACTGCCGGTGGTAATCGAGCGTTGTTGTTTTCAGCAACTGGGGGCGGGCCTGCGGCTGACTTTAAAAACGAGATCGGCTGATTGGACTGGCCTGTCAGGCCTCAGGCACGGACTGCGCTGAAACGCTAGCAGCCGGAGCGCATGCATGGGACCATGCCCTGGCAAACCGGGCTGCGCGGGCCGTCCAGCGGGGGGCACAGAGCGCGGCCGCGACGCCGCCCCGCAGGTGGCGGCGAGCCCCTCAAAAGCAGTGCAGAAGCTGCCCCAGCGCCTATGGGCCACACTGACAGTTTGGAAGCATTGATTTGGACCCATATCAGACCAGTGCCCGCTGCCTTATCCACTCACTGGACCTCGCCGGCTGAAGCGCTGCGTGACCCCATCATTTGGCGTGTCTGGTGAAATGCGATTAGCCTGCATTGACTGGGGTGCTGCAGAACACCTGCCCGCCCGGATGCGTCCCGTGTGCGAGCTCGCTCAGGGTTGGCCAGGGGTCCACGAAATGGGTGACGCCACTGGCTGCATCGCTGCCAAACGGGCGCAGGCGGCAGGCATGCTTCGACGGCAACACACAGACCCCTGGCAAGTGATCTCGCAAAGCAGCCACGCGGTTGCAGCGACTCAGTGGGTGGGAATGGCGGCGTCCAAAGCCGCCCGCAAATGCATCACAGCTGGGGCTGCTGGATGGCCTCCACATCCCGCCCCAGCGCCCCTGCAGGCCGGGCCGGCGCAACGACTCCAGAGAAGCTTCCAGATGCTGCTATATACTGCCTTTGCCCGGTTGCCTTTACGCGGCTAGCCCTGCAGCACGCCCGCATCTCGCTGCGCTGCATCCCAAGGGCAGCGCCCTGCCGCGTGGCTCGTTCCGCAATGTTACCGCGTCGTGCCGCAAGCTCAAGCCCACATCGTTGCGCAACTTCGCGCGCAGCCAAGTGGCGGCACCGGTGGCGCCCAGGCGCTGCTGCGCCTGCCTTGCTTTGTGCCAAAGGTGCAACAACCCCGGCCGGCAGGCCCAATTGAAGGTCGTGGCAGTTGGATATATGCGGTTGGATATATGCAGCATGCGCGAAACGTGCAGCAGCACGGCCCGGCCAGAAGCCTGGCGAGAACGTGTGTGTGTGTGCGACCCGTGCGTCCGCCGCATGGAGCTGGCACTGGAACAGAGGGCACTTTTTTGTGGCGAGCCGTCCCTGCGGCCTTTCGGGCGCAAATCCACAGTCGCCGATAAGCAAAGCCCCTCTAACAGGATTCGAAGAGATCACAGTCTTGGCGGCGGTGGAGGCCCCGCGTGGAGCGACAGCCGCGCCTCTGGGGTGCAAAACTGGTGCGCGCCGCTTGGGCGGAGTGATCAGGAGGCGGGGGT